TAGGCTTCGCATGGGACGGCTTTCTTATAGTTTTTTAGTAAAAAATTAAAAATTTTATACTAAAAAGCTGCTTTAAGAAGTAGTAAAAAAGCCCTCCCAAACGAAGCCTCATGCTTTCGTTCGTTTAGGATTGCTTTCTTATTTTTTCTAAAGCAGTTTTTTAACATAAAAAATTTTAATTCAAGAAATTTTTATACCAAAAAGCTGCTTTAAAAGCAGTTTGAAAACCATCCCAAGTATTTATTTTATGATGTTATTAGGTATATTTTAATTAAAAAATCTTTTTATATCCCCCTTCTTCTTGCTAAAGGATCAGATCTTCCATCTTTTGTGACCATAGATCATTGCTTCGACCAAATAAAAGAAAATCCAATATCTTCTTATTATAATTTTAGAAGTTCACTTCTACATCAATAAAAAAAAAAGAAGATATTCATTCCTAACAAATCATTCCTGAAGTAGAAAAATTTCATTACAGGACAGTCCTTCCCAAAGAACTTGTTCAACTTTGGTGATCATCCGCACCATTAGAGAACCTTTTTCTTTCAGAACAAGGAGATAATTTTAGATAAACTAGCAACAAGACAAAGCCTGCAAGGTTTCAACTTTATTTCATGTGCTGAAAGGAGGAGCCAACTCTTTTCCTCAAGAAAAAAACTACATTGCTGTCAACTTTTAGGCCTTTCTGGTCTACCAGTAGAGGGACAAGAATGACACAATGAAAGTGATCGATGGCCGTCCATTCAACACAGCCATGGTAGAGATAAGGGACCATAATGAGATGAGGTTGCCCTAAAGGGAGATGTGTGGCCCTCCATGAGATTTTTATCGATGCTTAGTTTGGTTGGTGGGTGAGTACGGTTCTCCTTAAGCGTCATCGCCTCTTAAGTGAGGCCCAATAATCAAGTGCGGATCAGGAGATTTCTGGGGTGGATGCCTCTTCTAGGTCAGCCAATGATTAGTCATGCCGTCAAGTACCCTTTCGTGAGTGGCAGCGGATGGATTCCCCGTTCTCAAAAATAAATAAATAAATGTGTGCATTCATTGAGCATCTGACTTCAACTTTGTGGGAAGGAACTCATGCTAGAACTCTGCATTATTTTAAGTAGATATTAGGTTGTCAATTTGGGTATCGGTCCGGTTTTAGTTTGACTCAAAATTGACTTGACTTGAAGCTGCATAAATCATATTGGATTCGTTTATTATCGGGTCGATACATTGGACTGGTCTTACTAGCATTAAATTAGTGTAATATCAGCATAATATACCTAACTGATTTATTATATAGGCTATGTTATGTTTCCTGTCAAACCAGTCGTATTAGCTCGAGCATGACCCATATGATAGTTATCAACATTGTTATAGATCCCATAAGAAAATATACTATAGCTTCGTTTAGGATGGCTGTCTTACTGCTTCTTAAAGCGGTTTTTTAGTAAAAAATAAAAAATTTTATAATAAAAATCTGCTTTAAGAAATAGTAAGAAAATTGTCTCAAATAAAATCTATGTAAAATTAGTGATAATTTGACCGTCATGATAAATTCAGTGCAATGATTGAAAATGGGGCTGGGAAACCCCTACTAGAAATTTGGGATTTGGTACTAAACTTCTCTTTAATCAATAATAAAATTAATCTACATTATCCACAACTGTGTGAACATATATAAAATTTGTATTTTTTTTTTGTTGGTCTATTATTTTATTTTCTATACTTACATAAGATCCACATATTTCTAATAATTATTTCATATATATTGAGTCAACCAAATTTAATCATATATTAAATAGGTTTTTTTCCTAAATGCTAATGGGTTTGATTTAGGTTCTAAGATCATCTCCAACCGAACTGCTCACGCTGATTTGACGTCCACCATTAGCTCCACCTGATACCATTTTTTTTAATTAAAAAAATTAAGTTAAAAATTATAGATTATTAAGTGTAGGTTTTTAATTTTTAATAATTAAAAATTAAAAACTTATAAATACATTATCTTTTATATAATTAATTTTTTTACTTTTGGTTATTCATTTTATTTTTTAAAATATTTTTTTATTTATAAATACATTATGTAATTTATGAGTTCGTAAATTTTATTTTATTTATTAAATACTTATTTTAGTAAGATTTATTTTTGTTAAAAAAATGTAAACCTAATTTGAAAAATTGATAAATATAAAATTATGATTAAAAAAATATAAAAAATGAGAAAGAATATACACAAAAATTTTTTTTTAGTTTTAAAAAATAGAATTCGGTTGAAGAAGAGTTACTGTATTTTAGAGTGTTACTACATTTTGGAGCGAAAAATGAGTTTTTCGACTGGAGGTGGCCTAACTAGTTCTAATCTAATTCTAATTTGTTCTATTTATCATGCATGTCAAAACACTAGAATTGAATCCAATTTACATTATTTATGCATCAATCACAACTTATGTCAATTATTTTGGCACATATGCTTCAATTCAATGAAGGAAAATCATCTTTGCCCAGCACTATTCTCTTTAAAAAGAGTGTTGCTTGCATTAGGAAGATTAAGATTTTGTTTGGGGCAGTTTTTTGTTGCTTCTTAAAGCAACTTTTTAGTATCAAACATAAAAATTTTGTGCTAAAAAAAACTTAAAACAATAGTAAAAAAGCCATCCAAATGAAGCCCAACTCATCTAATTAGAAGTGTCAATTTCGGGTCACGGGTCGGGTTCGGGTCGAACCCGAAACTGACCCGGCACTATTCGGGTCAACCCGAACCCGACCCGCTTCGGGTCCGGGTCAACCCGATAAAACCCGAATGACCCGTTTCCAACAAAAAAATAGCTAATTTTCGGATCAAAATGGGTCAATCTCCTCTTTTCGGGTCAATCTCGGGTTGTCGGGTCAAAATCGGGTCACTTTCGGGTCAATTTCGGATCAAAAGGTTAACCCGAACCCGACCCGATTTTTGAAACTGGTCAAAATGCTGAACCCGAACCCGACCCGTTTCGGATTCGGGTTGACCCTAACCCGAAATTTTCGGATCATGTTCAAGTTGAATTTTCAGATCGTGTCAAATATTAATACCCCTACATCTAATAATAGAGGCAGGATAATTTTTTATGGAAGCTAGTGCTTCCTTCCATGACATGACAGTATGAGGCTCATATAATGGAGAACACCATGGATAGTTGCTACTTTTATGCTCTCAAATGTTCCTCGTGTGTGGTCACAATGATGCCATGCTTTTGAATTTGTTTTTTTAATTATATTTTGGGTGGAATCTGCCCTGCATTATGGGAGGGCAATAACTTTGAGCCTCATAGCTTTAGGCTCCATGTACTTTTATTTTATTTTATTTAGGTGTGGGAGGTGGGAGCTTCTTTTTTTTGGATTGTTTGGAGAGTGATTCGAATCACAGGCTTAGTATTATGTACTTTTTTAAGGGGTGGAGGAGTAGGTGTTTTTGAGATTAATTATTTTGTGCGAACATCGGATGTCATCGGGAGTCAAATCAGAGCATGCTATGTCATCTCCTTATTGTGTATCATGACTCTGTACTATGTGACGTGACGCGCTCAGATTCGCCTCTAGACACAGAATTATGTTCGATGTCCGCACATAATAATTTCTCATTTTTTGAAAAATTTAGAGAGTGATTTCTATCATCACCAGTTGGGTGGTTGATGTAAGAGCATCTGTTTAGAGGTGGTTGTCAAGAGAAAAGACAATAATATATTCAAACCAATTCAATTCAATGGTTAAGATGTTCAGCTCCCATCAACTAACACTGTGAAGGAGAATGTTAAGTTATGGAGCTCAATTTTTTTATTACAACTGACTGCACTAAATAAATTTAAGTTTCATTTGGGATGACTTTTTTACTGTTTTTTAAATAAACTTTTTAGTACAAAAAATTTAATTTTTATATTAAAAAATTATTTTAAGAAGCAGTAAGAAAGTCATCCCAAACGAAGCCTTAGTCATAGGTCAACTTTACAAAGAGAGAGGGCGGTGTATTATGCATCTCTGAGACATTAGGGTTATAATGTTTCACAATCAATCATAGCAAAACGAGCATATATGTGAAAAGGTTGGAGTAGCTCCAGTGGAAGATAAGATTAGAGAAAGTCGTCTTAGATGGTTTGATCACATAAAATGGTGACCTTCAATGACCCGGTTAGAAAAGTAGATGTATTAGATTTGGCTTATATTAAGAAAAGTAGAGGTAGGCCTAAAAAGATTTGGTTATGAAATATTAGAAATGACCTTTACTTTTTAGATTTAAATGAGAATTTGATTCTTAACATGACACAATAGAGAAAAAGGATTCATGTAGCCTACCCCACTTAGTGGGATAAATGTTTGATGTTGTTGCTGTTATAATCATAATGAAATTATAACGGTGGCTATAGGACATAACTATAAATTGAATAAATCTGTATAAAATTCTAATGTAACACGTTCTTGTTTCCTGTGATTGCATAAATTTCATTTATTTTCCAATGCAGGTTGTAATGACTTCAACAGAATAAATTACTGACACTGGGAATACTAAAAGTAGCATAGTAGGAATCCATAATTCAAAGCAAAATCTATGTTGAATTCAATAAAAAAATGTGAAATACCTGTGCAGGAGAAATCTGTCGAGAGAACTGTAATGCTTTACTTGCATCAACCAAACAGCTTATCTTTGTTCAATTCAAAAGCTCCAGCGACTTTGGGGTAAAGGTCCGGCCTTGTATATTAAGTCTGATATAGTTGATCGTCGGAAGATGATACCTGCAAGAAGGATTTGGATTTTCTCAATCCAGGGAAGAAGAGAAAGAAAAGCTCAAAGGCTTCAAAGACTAGTATATTTCATTCAATACCTTTCCTATTACAAAACCTCCTATTTATAAAGCAAAAGGAGAATTCTAGAAGCTCATGCTAATAAACTTAGATAAGATGTCCTAGGGAACACCATAAGCATAAGATGCACCGCATCATTCTCCCCTAGCGAAAAAAAGGCTCGACTCCGTCGAGACGCATTATTGACAAAGAAGGCAGATTCCCGGATCGAAGACTTTGAATGCGGGTTTTAAAATTACCACATGAAGAGGCTTACAAAATTGAGCATCAGCCACAGTTATTGAAACATTATGATCTTTTAAGCTCTTTGCATAGATTTCTTCCTTCCTTGGATGAGAGCCATCATCCGCAACAAACTCATGAATTTTTCCATTCAGTTCCATCGTAGTGCAACCAGGATTTGTTTGAATTTCTCTCTTTTTCTTCCTTACATCAGCGACCTTATTCCAATGACCTGCAGAAGCATAGATATTGAGTAAAAAGACATAATCCCCAGCTTGCTGAGCTTTCAACTCAATCAGGTGCTCAATAACACGTTCACCGAGCCCAACATATTTATGGATTCTACAAGCCCCAAGCAAAGTCCTCCAAATTGTAGCATCTGGAAGAACTATCATTTCATTGACTACAAAATTGTAGGCACGATCAAGCAAGCCAGCACGGCCTAAAAGATTGACCATACATCCGTAATGACAAACATTAGGAGTAAATCCATAATCAAACCTCATCAAGTCAAATAGACTAATCCCTTCATCAACTAACCCACTGTGACTGCAAGCTGAGAGAGTCCCAGTAAACGCTTGTTCATCAGGAGCAACACCCTCCCTCTGCATCTCTTTGAAAGCATTGATAGCTTCTCTTCCACAGCCGTTCATTGCCAGCCCTGAAATTATTGAACTCCAAGTAACAACATTCTTCTCAGATGTATCACAGAACACTCTATAAGCCTTCTCCATAGATCCACTCCTTGAGTACATTACAAATAGAGAATTCCTAATCTTGAGAAGGTTTCCATATCCATGTTCCTCAACATATCTATGCACGCGCTCACCAAAATTAAGAGAGCCCAAGTGGGCACATGCCTGAAGCAGGAGCAAGCAAGTAATCTCGTCAGGCTCCAACCCATATTCTGGGCTCAGCAATGCATCCTTCGTTCGGTTACCAAAGTCACATATCTTTAGCCTTGGTACAATACTATCATCCAATGATGTGTTTTCTAACTTGAGATCCTTGGGGCATATTTGCATGAACTGACAGTAGCTGACTCCTGAAATAAGTTGTTGAAAGAAGAATCTTGCCTCGTCTTCAATGAACCTCCTTGCATTTCAAATTATCTCAAACAACTCACCTCCTATAGCATATTCCATCACTATTGCCAGATGTGTACACGTCAAAAAGACCTCAACTGGAACTTTATCAAGTTTCTGCACAATCTCCTCTAGCCTCTTGAAATTTGGGTTGAATCCTTTAGCGTCATTTCGTCGAACAGTTTGGATGCATTGCACTGAATCAACTTTTTCAGCAGCATTTAAATCTGGTATTTCCACAATCGTTACCTCAATGTCGGCCAACGCCGTCGGGTTCGCCGGAATTGTGTCATTGCCGCCGACGATGGAGGCTGGGTCGCCCTTTTGTGCGTAAGAGGACGGCATGAGAGAGCGAAGCAGAGCAGGGTACTCGTTCAATTTCTTCCGCCGGCTGCGTTCAACGTAGCGATCACTTCGCTGCACCGATCCCGCTCTACAGACTAGTTGTAAATGTACTTCGCAACACCAATCCACGTTTGA